TCCCTCAACTTTCCCCTTTCTTCTGATTCCAGTGGAGAAGTGTTTTTCCACTGTCCCAAATCACACCAGCTCTAGTGTCCAATCCAGCCTTCCCCTCTGACATTACTGTTTCTCCATCTCTGTCTTCCTAACTTTCCACCATCTCCTTTGGGCGTTGGCCCACAGTGTCTCCCCTGCCCCCAAGTCTTCCACTTGCCTTTCTTCCTCTTCTTTCCAGCGCCCATTTCATTTTCTGCCCTCTGTCTCTGCCAAATATCCCCAGTGAGCAGTGTATTAGTGAAATGAGACAATTCTCACAATAATCCCCTTGAGAGAGGTGTCCTGTGTAGGTGATCGATGAGGAAGATGAAGTCGCGACTGGGCAGGAGCACTCCAGGGACAGTCAGCCAGCATTGGCTGAGCTCCAGCCCTGTCCGGACGTTCACCATGGACATAGAGAGGCCAGGCTGCAGGTGCCAGGCTCCCCACACAGAGCGCAAGTGGAGTGCCAGGGATTCACAGGACCTGTGGCACCTGCTCCTGCACTCTGTCCCCTTCCAGGTGCCTGAGCGTGGGCGGACCTGGAGCTGAGCGATGGTTTCCCACATATGGCAGAGTTTGGATGAAGAACTGCATTCTCCCTGTATCTGGCCTTCCAGGAGGCCAGAAGCTCCCCGCTGCTCTGAGAGTGGTGGAGAAGCCAGGCAGGGGGCAGAGGGCCGCATCGCCTCTGATCCTGCCCAACACTGCGCAGGCCCCAGCCAGCCACGCTGCATCCCAGAGACCAACTTGGACGCTGACACCCCTCATTTCCTACCAAGAAAAGAATGATTATTCTGGCAGAAAAGAGCAGCTTCCAAAATCCAAACTGGCAAGAAGATGAGATTACTCATGCAGAAGCTGCAGACGACCCTTGGGCCTGCGGGTCCATGCGACGCCTCCCCACAGTGAGAGCAAGTGATCTCAGCTCACCAGATACACACCCGAGCTTGCAGGTGCACACACATCCACACACACTTGCACGTGGGGGGACAGTTGCACACACATACCTGTGTGCGCACACTCTTGAATACATCTTCATGCATGTGGACAGCACACAGAGGCACATGTACACACATGCACATGAGTGTCCACCTATGCTATATGCCATACTATCTCAAGAGGCGAAATGTCCCACACAATTGTTTCTGTACTCTCAGGTCATGCTACCTGTGAGAGGTGAAAACAACAGGGTTGCTAGCCAGAAAATTGAACAGATGCAGTATCTGAGTCACTCTGCCATCACTGGTCACAAACTTCAGGTCACTGAGTCAGGAAGCCACGGGAGAGGGTGGGGCTGTCCAGCCCTGCCCCCTGAGGGCCTGTTCAGCTCCGCACCCCTGGGTGGATTAGCCTGTCTATGAGTGTAGCGCCCCCGAGCCAATCCCCTTCCAAGAACCTGCCTTGGAATACTTGAGCCATGTGGAACACCAGATCTGAACTCGAACATGCACGGAGGAGCCGTCTCTCACCACTCCAGAGCTGGGGGTGTCAGAGCAGGCACAGCACATGCGTGGCAGGAACCGAGTGCACCATGGTGACATCCCGAGTCTATCTATGTGCTGTTTAGCTCAGCTCCAACCCCTGGGATCCCTGACCGGAGCTTTGGGGCTAAGGCCTGCAGGAGCCCATCTTTGCTGGAAGCCAAAATGTCAAAGTGACACTTTTCATAATCCATTTGGGGTGAAAAAGTCATTAAGTTGTAAAATAGTGATCTGAGCAGCAGCAAAAGGCATCCAGCTTCCAACGACAGAAGCTGAATCCCGGGACAAGCCCGTGAATGACTGTGACCTTGGCTACCAGCACCTGGCTGGTGACGAACAGGCCCTTGTGGGGTCTCGTGGGACAAGCACAAGAAGGAGCAAGGGCAGAACCTGCCACCATGTGGGCCAGGGCAGAGCAGGCTGGTGCCTGCCATGCACCTGCTCTACCAAGCTCTCTTTGGGGAGCAGCAGCCCCCTGGAGTGGCAGCAGGGTCCCAGGAAGCCCCAGCTGCTCCCAGGATGCCAGCCCACAGGCTCCACACAGCACTGGCATTGCCCTTGGGCACCCCATCCCATCTAACGGCCACCAGCTCTGACTTTCCATGGCTCATTGACCTGGCCTCGAATGGATGGAAACGGCCCAGGTCCCCAAAGCCAACTCCTGGCAAACCCAGGACCACTCTGCCCTTAGAGCCAAAAACTCCTATGAAACTCAGACTAACCATGCGAAACCCATCTGAGCTTCCAGACCCTGTGGACACCACATACAGTCCCCACTTGGCCTTGCCTGGGGGACGCCCGGAGCCAGAGGGACGGGCAAGGTTACGATTCTGGTCTGGAGCAGCGGCCCAGCTGGCAGTGCCTGCTCTGAGTCAGGCTACTGGGGAAGGGAGGGGCCAAGTTTGCTGTGGTCCCTTCCTCCCGGGGCTAAGGCCTACTCCGGGGAAGAGCTGGTGCACCAGCTCTTGACTCTGATATGGGCCCACCCACCGTTCCTGCACCTCCAGCCTCCTCCCACTACAGTCACAGGTCAGGGGTGTGGGTGATGGGCTGTGTGGTGACCATGGGCAGCGCGAAGAGGAGCCTCTCTCTCCCATAGCTGCCAGGTTCCAGGGTAGCTCGTGCCCAAGCAGGCCGCTGAGATACTGGACATTTGTCCTGGCCATGCAACCGACATGCCCAGGACCACAAGAAAGAGACAGCCATGTGTCAGGCTGTGTCCATGTGCCTACAAAGGGGGAAACTCTGCGCTACGAGACGTGGGTCTACGGTGCCCAGCTGCTGGGCACCATCAGCCTGCAGTAAGTGCTTTTGTTCCCTGAATACAATACGAAGCTTCCTAAAGGTGCTGCTCACAGTCCAGCCCAAACCCGGCCCCTTGGGATTTCATTTCTAAGCTTCTCCAAGTCTCCCTCACTTAGGCAGGGCGCAGGGCTCTGTGCGTCCTCCTGGTCAGGGACCAGAGTCCTGTTCCTCACTCGGACATCCTGTCACCTCACTGGGCCTCGCCTGCATCCACAGCCCAGCCTGACCGCTCAGCTGACTGCAGAAACACTGAGTTTCTGTCACTTTCTGCACCGTCTTTCTCGCCTTCTCTCCTTTTGCATCGCACTCTTTTTTGTCCCTTGCATTTGACTCGTCGCATGCTCAGAGATCCTGGGTCAGTGGGGATGGACACTGCCCTCCCGTAGCCCTCCCTGGGACCGTTCACCTCTGTGTAGCAGAGAGGCCTGACCCTTACCGCTCTGACGGTCATGCTGCCGCAGGGCTAACGAAGAGACCCCTGCTCGCTCTGCCTGGCTGCGCGATTGCCCCAGGGACGCCGGCCAGGCTCACGGCGGGCACGCTCTCGCTCCGCTGGCAGCGTGAGAAGCAGCGGCGGGACTTTGCCTGCGGCATGTGGCAAAGCCCTCGCGGCAGAGACCCAGATGACAGCAGCACCACTCTTGCGGGGGGGGGGGGGCAGAGCCAAGAACTAAGAGGTGTGCGGGGGCCTTTCGGGAGGCAAAACTTCAGTTCTCCCTGTTCAGAATTGTTTCTCCCTTCCCCCCAGCAGAAACCCTGCTCATTCCTTTTAATAAAGGGAGAGAGATTCGTTTATAGAAAACCTTTTTATAATTTATTTCCTGTATTAATCTTCCAAGCATTAAAAAAGGAGGTTCTAGCTAAATTCAGGGTCTCGTTGGTAAAATTTTGACCAAGTAAACAAATAAATAAATATTTACAGTCTTTGGCAAAAGAAAGTTGCATCAAGCTAAAAGAGAACCTTGTTAAAGAAACACAATTTACAAAAAAATATGGTACATTCTAGTATTCACATCTCCATCCCCGTCGCACTGCGGGACCCAGCGCCCTCGAGCAGCAGCCGGCACGCTGGTCACCGTCGTCACACTACATGAAGTTCCCACCCCTGGGCTGGTTAGGGGACTGAGGTTCCACAAAAATGAAAAGTACAGCAAAACAAGAGGACCAAGTTCAGAGGAAGCAACAGGAGAAGTTCTATCAAAATGAAATGCTATGTAAATTAAGGCAAAGGTTATGGATTCTTTCTATTTGACATAGAAACGCTATCACAATTAGCGGAGAGGCGACATTTGTCCTACGTCAGACAGACGAGAGCAACGTTCGCGAACCCCCGATATGGCGTCGGAGGAAATAAAAGCTGCTGCAGACCATAGCGCTCAAAGCCAGAATTCAATCAATCTTGTGTCTGTCACTGTATAACTGATTACTGGGTGTGCCAGCAAGTCAAAATGCTGATTATTTTTCACTATTCAAATTTTAAAAACTATATACAGCAGATAGATAACAGTAAAAAAAAAAAAAAAAAAAAAACCCACTGTACTAAAATCACCGCAACAAAATATATTAAGGTTCCATAATGAATTCCGCATTATTTTTTATTGGGCCTATTACATCCCACAGCAAGCTTTATCACAACAGCATATGATAAAGCCTTGTGCTTCAACAGGCAGGTATTTTGCTGTAACTATATCTTCATATTATTATATCCTTGTTATATGTTTACCTGAAGAAATAATACTACGTATGTGTGCCTTGGCATGTAAAATAAGTTATTGGTGAGTGGAGCTGCATTCTCTATTCTTTTAATAAATATTAACAAAACACTACTAGCTGGAACCTCAGTGAAATGTGTTACCCCATTAACAAAGCGGCCAGCCCAGAGCTTCCGAAGCCCAGGACAGGAAGAAGACACCAGAGCGCACGGCTGTCTTGTCTGTCTGGTTCCCTGTTCCCGGTACCAAGATGAGGAAAGAAGCTCAAAGCAGGCATCCTGCCCTCAGGAAGCAAGAGCAGACGAGCGGCAGGCAGGACCGCAGCAGCCCGCTCAGGAGCAGCCACCGGCTGAGCCGAGGCCTCCTCACGAGGCTTGCTTCTCACTCCGAGGCTGGGCCGAGCCCGCAGCACGGCCCTGAGAGCTCAACCGTGCAGGAACGCTCTCTCTCTCTCTCTCTCTCTCTCTCTCTCTCTCTCTCTCTCTCTCTGATAAAACTCCATCTCTGTCTGGCATGAGGCTTCCATTGCAGGCAGCAGGAGAAAGGGCAAGTGCATTCTTTCAGTTTTCTAACTATTTTCTCTGCTCCAGTTAGTCAATTTATAGCTCACATCATTCCATATCGGGCCGCAGACTCACACCAGTAAGCTTCCTAACCTCAGCCTCGCTATGGCATTGCCTCAGACTCGACTTGACCCTTCCTTATGGTTGACCCGAAGAACTTGTGTGTTACTGTAAAACAGTACTAATCCAAGAAGAGTGAAAACATTAAGCAGTGAAAGTAGTTGAACAACAGTTTTCATGCTTAATTTATAATATTGGCTTATGCACAATATTCCCTTCAACTCCATATACATATAAATACAATAAGTAATTACATTTCATATGTAAACGTCATCCTTTTTAAACAGACAAGCAAAAGGAATGCAATGCCACGGCCAAATTTCATTCCACACAAAATCTCCATCATCAGACTTTTCCAGGAGAAGGTTGGATGTGCATCTTTGGGTTCCATTTGTGATCGTCATCTGAGGGAACACGAACTTGGGGCTGATGAAGGAGCTGCAGAGCCACGCATGGGACAAGGTCAGGGAGCACTGAATGCCACGAGGGAGAAAATCTACAAGTACCAGGGCGCACTGAGATGTCTAAGAAATAGCGTTTGTAGCACATTTCGGAAATCCAGCGCATCTTATCTAGACATCTAAAAGAAAAGCAATATGCAAAATTAGGGTGACTGACGCAGGGCACTTCTTTTGCTGTTTCACCCACAACCTGACACTGTTTGAACTAAAAAATGACATTAATAAGCCAACTCACTGGCTGATCAAAACATGGAAGGATAGAAGGAAGCGAGGAAGACTGAGAAGAAGCAAGGAGGAGGAAGGATGGAATGATAGAAGGACAGATAAATGGATGGGAAGTTAGCTGAAAGGGTGGGTGGATGGATGGAAGACCCATGAAAATACAGATGGAAGAATGAAAAGATGCAAGAAAAATGGACAGAAGAATGAATGTCGTGATGAATACAAGAAAAAATGAAGAGATGGAAGGATAGATGAGCAGATGGAGGAATGGATGCATAGACAGAATGGAATGATGAACAGAAATATGGAAGGACCAATGAGTGACGGAGAGATGAAAGATTGGAAATAGACGGAAGAGAGGAAGGAAGGAAAGGAGCACAGAAGGGAGGATGAGAGGATGAGAGGATGGATGAATGAATGGACTGATGAATGGAAATATAGAAGACTGATGCTCAGACAGATGGAAGGATGGATGCAGAGACAAATGACATGATGGGAAAGTGGATGATGGATGAATAGTGTTAAGACTGTGGGTACACAGATATATGCAATGTATTGAAAGCCGATGTAATAAAAGGAAAAACTAAACATTGTGGTTTGCAATAGGTGATTTTTAACAAACAGAACTGAACCTTACTTCCCTCATCTGTAGAAACATGCCATCAACAAGGTGAGGGTACACTCTCTTCAAGGATATAACAGTTTAATTCAAATTACTCCCAGAAGTATAACTGCAAAGAAACTCTTCTATCCCCATCCACTTAAGAAGCTACAGAGAATTCAGTAAACTGTAGAATTTAGTAGTGTAGGAATGCTCTGTAAGTGATCAGGAAGTGTTCACTGGGCACAGCACTGTCACAGACGTGCAGATCAGCGGAATGGAATAGAGGGGATGAGAACCTCCCAGACACGTGCGTCCATCCAGTCATTGAAAGGGAGCCCAATGCATGCGTTGGAAGAGCAACAGCCTACACAACAGATGAAACTGGGAAAGCTGGCATCTGCCCGCCAAAGACCAAAGCAGGACCTATCTCTCTTACAATATGCTGAACGTGTCAAAACAGATCAAAGATTTAAACAAAGAAAAAGGAAAAAGGAACCCACTAGAAAGCAAAATAGGTAAAACACTTGAGGCACTAGGTGTGGAAAATAAGTTTTTAAACAGGATCCAAACTGCACAAGAAATGACAGGAAGAATCAACAAATGGCTTTACATCAGGTTAAAAGCTTCACAGCAAAAGACGCAATTAGTAGAGTGAAGAGGCAACTTACAAAAAGGGAAAAGTTTTGTCAGCTGTTTGTTAGACAAAGAATTGATATCTACAATATAAAAAGAACTTTAAAAACTTAGACTATCTAAAATAAACAAGCAGTCAAGAAATAAATAAGCAATCAAGAAATGGGCAAGTGAAACACGCAGACACTTCTAGGAGCAGAAGTGCTCCCAGCCAGCAAGCACATGAACACCTCTGGCTGTTAGAGAAAGGCAACCCCAATGCTCTGTCGTAGCCCAGAAATGATGGTCATTGAGTAGTCAGAGAACAACAGACACTGGAGGCTATGGTGAGAAGAAACCCTCACCTGCTGTCAGTGCGACTGGAAACCAGCACAAGCACGATGCTAAGCACTAAGCATATTTCTCAAAGAACTAAAATTAGAAATTCCGCAATGCAGCTGTTCTTCTAGGAATCTCCCCTGAGGAGCTGGAGACATCATTACTACAGCAATATTTGCATGCCAACATTTATAGAGCACAATTCACAAGAGCTAAATATTGGAAGCAGCCTGTATGGCCATCAACAGACAAATGGATGGAGAAAATACGGTATCTCTGTGTAATGGAATATCACTCAGCTATAAAGAAGGACAAATTTGAGATATTTGTAGGACAATAGCTACATCTGGAAAATATAATGTTGCATGAAATAAACCAGACACACCAGCTAAAATACTGTACGGTGTCCATCATTTGAGTGAGGCCAAATACAAGCAAAAGCATAATAAACAATGAGGGCAACAAAACCAAAGGACAGACTGCTCACAGATGCAAAAGGGGGCAGCAAACAGGGAGCAGCGAGGGGGTGTGAACAGAACCAATCTATGCCGTGTGTAGGGACTATAAATATTATATGTCATAAGAATGAAAAAAGAGTAATAACAACAGGAACAAGGAAAATGAGGATAGAGGATTCAGAGGCAGAGGGAGCGAGGTACTATAGGTGGGCAGGGGAAGGGCATAAAAGGGAAACAACCTACTCAGTACCTGCTCCCACTCCCCAGTGAATGTAAACTCCACATGCTGCAAACCTGCACTAATAAAAAGGCAAGAGGGATGGGGGTTCTACCAGGTAGAGTAAACCCCGAAGAAGATGAACACAGCCAATAGGAATTAGAGCCCCTTAATGCTGAGGGAAGGCCACACCACCAGCACGCTATTCCACGCTTCTGGTCCATTCCACCTCCCAAACTGCAAGCTCCTCCTCCACTCACCTCTGCACTCGTACTTGAGGTCCGAGAAGTAGACCATTTCTTGAGAGAAGACGAACAGGCCTAGCCTCCCACCAGCATAGGTTTGGTCGTAGATCGGTCCTGAGTCGGCCATGACCTGTTTTCCTTCATGCACTAAGACCCTAAAACATGGGGATGGGGGAGAAAGAGAACGCAAACCCGTGAGGCATGGGAACCAGGGCTCCAAGTTATGCAGATGCCAAGCTGACCGAGAGGAACCTAGAATTTTCTTCCTGGTTCTGGGGATGGAAGCTGAGGCTTTGCACATGTTAACCAAACTCTCTGTCTCCAAGCCACACTTCCAGCCAAACACAGAGGGACCTGAACACAAGCTCAACTCAGAAGCCTTGCCCAGCACACACCCGAGGGGCTTCTTCCACCCTAACCCCTGCCACTCCATACTTGGGGTGTACAGACAACTAATGATGCAGCTGAAGCAGTTTCTGCCTTTAGGAGCTGAGGAAGGGTGTGGATAGTGAGGGACATTGCGTAGTGGCCTCTGGGATAGGCTTATCTCGTCTTCCTGGATACAAGTTCTCCCCACAAGCAAAGCTTTGTGAGGACCAGAGTCCGCCTTCTGACCTGCTCAGCATGAGGTGGAAACCCTCCCCAGGAGGATGGAGCTCATGTGTGAACAGACGGGGCTCATGCAGGGAGGCTGCCCCCACAGCTCATTCACACACTCTCTACAAACCCCCACACTCCTGGCATCTGCAAAGAAACCAAGAGAGCTGGCTAAAGTGTGTGTTCAGCACACGCAAGGCCCTGGGTTCAATTCCAGGAACACACACAAACACAGACAGGGAGAGATAAAGGAGGCGGGGCAGAGAGGAGGGGGAGAAGAAATTCAAGTACTGCGACTGAATCTTACTGATTTTTTAAAGGACAGAAGGGGAGGGAGGGCCAGCCAGATAGCTCAATGGACTAAAGCACCTGCTTAGGCAGAGCACATCAGTCGGGATTCAATCCCCAACACACTGTGTTGGCCCCACCCCCGGGGCACACTGAGACAGTGATTGAGACTGGGCGTGGTGGCGTGTGCCTGTAATCCCAGTGCTTGGGAGACTGAAAACAAGAGAATCACTACAAGTCTAATCTACATAGTGAGACCCTGTAGGCCCTGCAGACGCTGTGCCAAATACATTAAAAAACAGAAGGAGGAGGAGGAGGAGAGGGAAAGGAGAGGGAGTGGAGGAAAGAGGAGAGACTCTAAATTGCTCAAATTTTGTTTTAATCCAAATTCATTACAAATGCTGGCAGGCCAAAGCCAGAGAATCCTGTTGGCCTGATATTTGTGCTTCATTCACACATGTGACTTCCAGCTCAGCCACTCATGAGGACCAGCCAGGATCTGAGACAGGCAGGTTTCACTCTGGCTCTATCACGGCCTCCACCGGGCCTGCCAGCGTTCCTTACAGGCAGAGGTGCCCACCACCTCCATGCTCCCTTAAGCAGACAAATTATGCTTTCTCTTTCCCAGTTTTTTACTTTTTTTAAATGTCATTCACAGTAGAAATGCAAGATAGAAAAGCAAAGGCAGTAAGGATCCAGAGAAAGCCAGGCATGGCAGTGCACACCTGTAATCCCAGCACATGAGAGGCTGAGGCAGGAGGACTGCCACTGGCCAATCGAGGCAAGCCTGGGCTATATGGGGAGTTCAGGGGAAGCCTGAACTGCACAGAAAGACCCTGTCTCAAAACAACAACAGAAGAATCCAGAGAGGAAGTCAAAGCCAGAACTGGCCTATGCGAGCTCCACCCTACTCTCCCCTAGGAGCCACCACAGGCACAAACAGAGCTGGCACTCTGCTGCCCTTACCTCATGTACCCTGTCTTGGGCCTGTGGATCAGATGCCACCGGTAGGCGGTGTAGTCCTTCCAGCCGATGTTTTTGGGGTCATGCCATAACGTCCTCACCTGGGGAAAAGGTATCACTTTGCAGTCATTTTAGCCCCTGGGTGTCCACGTGGCCTCACACACAGTATGGAGGCTGACCACAACCCTGGAGGCCACCCTGTGGTTGGCCCTGGCCCTCTGACACATGCTGAAAGGACACAGACTCTGCATGTCTCGCACTAGACCTGAACTTGCCCCAGCGCTGTGGGACTTGTCGCCGTGAACTGGCCACATGTCATCAAAGCGCACAGTGGATGAGACTGTGCTTCAGCTCTCTGACAGCAGCCCACAGCCCAGTATTTGGTGCAAAATCATGACCATGACCAAAGCATCAACTTTTGAAACCAGCTTTCTGCCGTTAGAGCAGCGGAGAAAACTGTGATCTGCAGTACAAGTTTCCACAGCGCTCGTCAAGCCTCAAGGCGTGCTGCCTTTAGGAAGGAAGGGGCCCCATAGCACAGCTGAAGCGCTTGCCGCCCGCACTGGCACCACTAAGAATGCAGGAAGGCTCTCTTCAGGCTGAACTGAGCTGCAGGCAGTGTCCGGGTGGCAGCTGCCAGCCTCACCTGCCCCTCTGTGTTCCCTGTGTGCCACAGTGCATTCCGCAGGTGCTCGCCGGTGCCTGTCGTGGAGTTGACCACCTTGAGTGACACGCCTGAGTAGCCGTAGGCCCGGCTGGGCTTGTCCTCCCAGTAGGTCTGCGTCACCTGCTTCCACATCACCACGTAGAACCGGCTGCTGGACTGGTAGCCGAAGACGAAGCCGGCATAGTCATCATCACGCTCAGTGTTCACATAGAACGTGCCGCTGAAGTCTACAGACCCGAACTCATCAAAACCTGGAGGGGAGGGCCACATGGTCATCGGGTCCCTGGGACCCAGTCTGGCTCCTCTGACCATGGGAAAGTGGTCTCCTCTGCCACCCAGCCCAGGCACCTTACCGAGAGAGGGATGGAGCTTAAACAAGATTTTTAATCCCAATTTGGAGAGTTACACGGTGTGACCTATGCGTGAGTACCCCAAGTCCATGCCACAAAACAGCTAGCTGGGCGTGACACTTCAGAGGCAGACATAGGTGCCCCCCGATTCTGCTGCAGAGCTCATGCAGGCTGCAAGCTTCATATGCAAGGAAAGACGGAGTGCTGCAGGCCCACCACCCCCATTTGCACGGTGCCACAGACCTCGGTGGACCCTGAGGGTCGTCACCGGGGAACTCACAGCTCACCTACAGCAATGCCAGGATCTGAGTTTGCTGTCTGAACCAGCTCCTTGCCCTGGTGCCGGATGACCCAGTTGGGATCGATTTGAGTGGTCCCCTTGGGGTCCAAGGGCACCATCTGGAAGTTCCTGAAGTCAGTCTCACTGATGGCGTTGTTTTCAGGGCACACGTCATCGATATCTGGGACGTTGTCATTATCAAAGTCATCTTTACAAATATCACCACGCCCATCACCTATTTTTCAAAGAAAAATCAAAAGCCAGGAGACAAAGCAGGCGGCTTGCCATTGCCCCTGTACTGCAAGCCTAAAGGGTACTTGGTCTCTGAAACCTGCACTGAGGCCTGGCACTGATGCACGGCAGATACGGGGTCTCCAAGCATCCGCTGCGCATGCTCTGAGCAGTCTCTGCCTTCCAGGCCCTCCCATTCCGCTCAGGACTAATGCCCAGCAAGGACCACATGGTGACCCCTCAGGGACTACTGCTCCCCTTATCCTTAGCTCAGACCAGAGAGGAGGTCTGTAGCGCAGTGTCTACTAGAACTCTTGGGTGCTTCTGTCACCTTTCAAACCCCCATCCCCTTCTAGTCTACAGAGCATCTAGAACTCTTACACTGAACTGGCCCTGGCCAGAGGACTTGGGATTCTGTCTACTGGGAGCCTTCTGGTTGTGTCCCCAGGGTTCTGTGGCTAGATGGACCACATGTCACTACTTTGCAGAGTGAGGACCACGGGACTTCTCAGACCCCTTCTCTGTGTGCCACATAATGTGGTGGGGTCCACCTCCCTCTGCACGGCTGTTTGTGTCATGGGAGAGGAAACATGGCATCCTGACTCCCAAGCGCCTCTCCACACCCTCTTCTTCTGCTCAGTATCATGGCTCGCCTTCCATGTGGAGGCACTGACCATGCACAAGGCCTTGAGGGATCACCGAGACCCTCTCTTTTCAAGCCTGCTCCCCCACGTTCCTGCCCAGCCCCACCTGGTGTTTTGCCATCAGACCAGAGCAACACTTCCGTGGGTCTGAGTCCAGCTGGCTCGGCACCCAGGACTCTGATCCCCGTCCGCCAAGGGGCCAGCACAGTGCACCGGCCATGCACGCACAGCCCTGCTGTGGTGCAGGGGCTCCCCACTGGACGGAGGTGTGGGTGCAGAGGGAGTAGTAGCGACCTTCTCACAGGGCTCCTTCTCCTTGTACTCACTCCTCCCCACTCTGTGTCTCTTCCCCTGCAGTCCTTCCTGTCCCCTCTCTAGCCTCCTGCACCCTCGGTGCCTCAGAGGTTGTCAAAGTCCTAAAAATGGCACAGACACCAGATTTTTCTTCAGCCCACACAGACGCCATGTGACGCCGATTGCCTGGTGACTAACGTACAGACTGAGGGATTGGTCAGTTGGGGCCCTTCTGCCCAGGGCCCTGCAGGCCCGGAGCCCAGGGAGAGCACCCACCATCTGTGTCCTCCTGGTCGGGGTTGAACACCAGCCGGCAGTTGTCCCTGTCGTCTGGGATCCCATCATTGTCGTCGTCGGGGTCACAGGCATCCCCCTTGCCATCATTGTCATGGTCAGCCTGGTTGGCATTGGAGATGTAGGGGCAGTTGTCCTGGTTGTTCTGGTGGCCGTCATCATCTATGTCTTCGTTGTTGTCACACTGGTCTCCCACAAGGTCGTTGTCCAGGTCCGTCTGAGAGACAGAGCCAAGGGGAAAGGGGTGAGCCCCTCCCTGAGGGTGTGCCCAGCCAGGCTGCCACCTCCCACGTCTCAGGGCAGGAGCCACTGGGCCGAGCTCCTGCACATCCACAGCAGGCTGGGACGGACTCCAGAAGAGGCTCAGCATTCCGGGCCTGTGCTCCCTGCCAGCAGGCTGCACCTCACAGGCGAGAGAGCCTGGCTTCTCACAGGGAAGAGTGAGCCGCACGCCGGCGGCCTCCAACAGGCTGCCAGGGCACCTCAGGCCCCTGCGGGGGATGTGCTCTCCCTGTCTCCTCCATGGCAGACCTTGGCTGAGTGCTCACAGCAGGAAAAACTGGGAATGACATGAAGTCCCCACCTTCTCAGACAGCTGCAGACAGCCTGGCCTGCGGCTGCTGAGACACCAGAGTTGTGCTCAGAACTGGGGTAAGGAAAAGTTGTCCCAACCCTAATGCCCACCAACTGAAGAGCAGATGAAAGTGATGTGCTGTACAATGGAGTATTACTCAGCTATGAAAAAGATAAACTGAAGCTGTTATAGGTAAATAGATGCAACTGGAGCCCACACTCATAAATGAGGTCAATTAGACCCACATGGGTAAACATCTTATTGTCTTCCTAGCATAAGAACCTAAAGCGTAAGTGAAGCCTGAAAGGCGCAATAGCTGTTAGGAAAGGGAAAGACGCGGTTCAAAAGGAAGGAATGACTAGGAAGAGGGAAAGGAGAAAAGAAAGAAGAAGGAAGGGGAAAGAAAATATATACGCATATGGACGCTAGGCGGCTTGGATAACTGTATTGCTGATTTCTGGTGGTCGATTGAAAGAAGCAGTTAATGCTTAATTTTTTTATTTCTCCTTCTTAATTCTTTATAACCTTTTCTGACCAATTTTGCACGCTTACATCTGGTAATCTGGACAGCTAATATAGAGACAATACTCGGCACTCTAACAACCATTGTTGAATTCCTATCGTTTTGTTTAGTGAAATTCTGCATCAGTTCCAATGGGTTTTCTAAACTATTTTTTTTTTTATTCTCTTTAAAAGATAAGGGCTGGCCTGAGAGCTCAGCGGACTAAAGCTCCTGCTTAGGCACAGCGCAGTGGCGGGGTTCTATCCCCAGCATGCCGTGCCAGCCCTGCCCCCGGGGTGCACTGAGACGGGGCGTGGTGGCGCACACCTATAATCCCAGTGCCTGGGAGGCTGAAAACAGGAGGATCACTGCAAGTCCAACCTACATAGTGAGACCCTGTACATCCCATAGACCTTGTCCTAAATACAGAAAAAAAAAAATGGCTCGAAAGAAAGAAAGAAAGAAAGAAAGAAAGAAAGAAAGAAAGAAAGAAAAAGTTTATAACAGAGATTACTGAAAAACTAAGATTCCTTGGGTGAGCAGGTGAGAATCACAAAGGTGCACCTCCACCAACCTGCTGCGGACCTGGGCCCCACCCTGCCCGCTGGCAATGCCCTGTCACCTGATCGGGATTATGCATCAACGGGCAGTTGTCGCAGTGGTCACCCACACCGTCGCCGTCCGTGTCTCTCTGGTCAGTATTATAGACGTAGGGGCAGTTGTCTCTTTCATTGAAGACGTCTGTCAACATTCAAAGACAGCAGCAACAGGCTGGGCTTAGGAAAGCGCTGCTGCTTTTCCTCTGGGCTTGAACAGCATGCAGCCAAGCTTTGCTTAATGATAATAGAAGGCACTATGTCAGAGCGTGACGATGATGAGATGTGCGGACTAGGAGGGGGGCCAGGGCCCGAGCAGCTGCTGCCTAGGCAGGGCTCCTGGTCCTGAGCAGCGCGCTGGGGCAGGGTGGGAGGGCATCAGACCTGAGGGCTCCACTCTGGAGGCCTGCAGGTCTTGGGCAGTGTCAACCGACTGCTGTGGCAGAGGTCAGCGGCACAGCTACACATTCAAGGGAGGCAGGAGCTTGCCAACGACAATGTGAGAAAGGAAGCAAGCTTGAAACATCCAGTCCCAGAAAGGTGCTCTGAGGTCTTTCTCAGTGGCACTTGGACCAGGCAAGGGGTCAGGGTTCTTGGAGTTCTGGACAGAAGGTGCACTGCACAAGATGCCGTGAATGGCATAGCACGAGGGACCTCTAGACTGCAGCTGGAGAGGAGAGGCAGGCTGGGGGCCTCTGCTCAAGACAGATGCCCAAGGAACCATTGCACTCCCTTTGGAAGTTAGACAAAGCCCTGGAGAACACACCATGAGGTTGGGTTCAGGCCCCCTCAAATGCCAAATAACAGGAACTCTGTGCATGATCCGGAGCCGCAGCCCCCCTGGACCTCTACCCCCAGCAAACTGGGTCCTCAGACACTATTTGGCAGCCACTGACCATCGCCGTCAATGTCGACAGAGCAAGCATCCCCCTCGCCATTGCTGTCCGTATCAATCTGGGCAGGGTTGTGCACGTAGGGGCAGTTGTCACAGCGGTCCCCAACTTCGTCCTTGTCATAATCAGACTGCCGGGGGTTGAACAGCAGCTGGCAATTGTCCTAAAGACACAAGGAGCACCTCAAGAGGGGGCACAGTGACTGCACCCCGTTGCACAGAAAGGATCAGCATTTATAAGTCAGGCACTCAAAGTAGATCGACATGTCAGTGTGGACAAAGACAGCAAAAGCCATCAGCCCTGGCTACACCTGCTGAGCCCTCAGTCATCTATAATGACCTATGCACCTGCTCTCTGCTTACAGAGATGCTTCCTGTGACAGTGGTGTTGCTCCCTCACTGGCATGCATCCAACTTCACTGAGAACAGGTGGAAGTCAGGCGTATGGATGCCATGAACAAAATCAAGGTGGCCCACCCACCCTTGCCGGCATCACACTGGGCACCAATGTGTGAAATCATCTGTATGCGACAGTCGAGGCCAAGGGAGCACCAACTTCTGACACCTCCACCCAAGGAAGGGACTGACGTGTGTCCCTTCTGCACCACAGAAAGCAAGCCAGACTGCACATTTTCTTGTAAAGTGCCCAGGGCCCGGGCTCAGCGGCTGCGCTGTTGTGAATGTCATGCTATCTCTTGCTGGCTTGGGAGTCACCTGTGCCCAGACACACTCTGAGATAAAGCACTGCAGGGAATGCTTGGGCACAAGCCCTGATCTCAGCTGGGCACGGTGCCTCATATCCCTAATGTCAGCCCTTAGGAAGCTGTCACAGGAGGACCCAAATCCTGACCCAGCCTGGACAACTTAGTGACTTAGCAAGCCCCTGCATTACATAAGAAAATGAAAATGCCCGAGGATGGAGCCTGTTGGGAGGCCTTGCGTTCAATCTCCAGTAAGGCAGGAAACAGGAAGAAAGAGGAGGGAGGGGAGGCAGAGCCCCGCATCAGCCTCGCCCGGGCCCAGGGCTGCTGCCTCGGTCACGGGCCGCCCCTCACCTTCTCGTCGCTCACTCCATCATTGTCATCATCCTCATCACATGCATCACCAACGCCATCCTTGTCAAAATCTTCCTGGCCAGAATTGGGGAGCTGGGGGCAGTTGTCCTGTAATGATAATCATCGAAATGTTCAGAAAAGCCCTTGCCTCCCACACAGAGGTTAGACAAAATGACAAGTGTGGTGTCACCAACATGCACGTGGGACATCTGTCCTGACAAGAAGCAGAGAAATAGGCCCATGCCTCTGGCCAGGGCTGACGCCAGTGCCGGTGAGCTGAGACAAAGCCACTGGGTCTGACTGAGCCCAGGTCCGAGGGTCACAAAGGCAGGAGACAGATGCGCCTGGCCCTGCCTGGAAGTGAAGGAGCCACACTGAAGCTCCAGGCCCTCCTCCAGAATCACAGAGCCGAGCTTTAGACTCTGACTGCAGTGGCCAGTGAGTCCTGGAGAAGGAAATCTTTGTGGGTGGTGCTACCTTTTGCAAACTGAGGCTTAGAGTTGAAGCCACCTCGTACTTCAGCTCCTCACAGACAGCGGACAGCGGGCCCAGGAAGTGGGAAGCCACCTGCTGCGGCCCCGCCAACAGCTTCCAAGCTGAGCACATGAGCCGCAGTGTGAAGGGGCGTTGCGCTTGCACTTGGCTCCATGCTGAACCCCGGCACATTTAGCACATCAGCATGAAGATACACCTGGTCCCCAGGCCCTGGCCACAGTCTAGGAGGAAACTAGATGCTTGGAGTTCCCCACGGTTCAGCCCGATGCACTCCTCCTGTGTGGGGCCCAGTCCCTTGCTGTGTGCGGAACTGGAGTGTCCCCAGGTAATGAAGGCTTGGTCCCCGCCTCTGGCACCCCAGGGAGAGGGATAGCCTTAAGCAGGTGAGCCTAGAGCGTGGAAGTGAGGTCGCTGGGGTCCCCTCAGAGAGGACGTGGGGACCTGCCGGTCCTTTCTCTCCCCCTGCTTCCAGAGCCGCCTCATCCGCTGCATGGCCCACCATTGCGCTGTGCTCCCTCACCACAGGCTTCATAGCGCCAAGGGGCCCTGGACTGACTCCTGCAGCCATGAGCCAAAGTGAAGCTCTGCCTGGCTAAGTTGGGTATGCTGGGAATATCAGTGCATAAAAGTGGACCGATCCCTCCTGACTGAGAGCGCTTTCCACCACGGGAGGTCAGGTGTGGGCACAGGTCTGGATTGCCCTGGGCCTCAGGGCTCACCTTGATGCAGTGGTAGGTGGCATTGGTGGCGCAGACCAGGTTGCTATTGGGCCAGCCATCCAGGTCGGAGTCCTCGCCGCAGATGAGCCCGTCGCCTGCGTAGCCTATCTGGCACTCGCACTTGTACATGGGGTCACTGAAGTGGCCCAGGTAGATGCACTCCGCGTGCCGGTGGCAGCTGTGGGTCTTGTCCTTACAAGGGTTCTCAGGCTCACACACCTGGGAACCCAAGGCCACAGGGGTTATGGACAGAGACAAGGCACTGGAGTGGCCCCAGAAGTGCAGGAGAGGGCGCAGGCAGGCGAAAGTCCAGGGACAGAGTTCCGCTTCTCTGGGAAGGGCCTCTGGGGCAGTCTGCTGTGGGTCCCGAGCTGTGGGAACCACGTCCGAGCAGCCTGTGGCTAGCACGTGGGGCTGCTTACTGTGCTTTGAGCATCGTCCATGAAACATGCACAAAAATATAATCCCAAAGTGGCCATGAGGGCGGCAGGGCCCAGGGACAGTGCAGGTCACAGGGCCTCACCCCAGAGAAGGAGTCATGCTGAGCGTGCACAGTGCATGACTGAGAGCTCAGTCATGGCCTTTCAGGCACTCTCTGCCCTTTGTCTCCTGCCTGGGTGACACAAGAGTGGGGGAGGCCTCACCAGATTGCCCCACCCCCAGCTATGACTTCCAGCCTCCAGAACTGTGGAAATAAGTCACTTCTTTATAAAGTACCTACAAATTGCGGTAGCAACACAAAATACGCCAAAGCGTTATTCACATGGAGGAGACAATAATTACACCAATGCTCATGTATTCCTGCACAAGAGCCCAGCTCTGAACTCCCCTGGGGCGACTGTGGGCCTCAGCTGGATGGGGTCAGGTGGCCTGGCTTTGGGAGAGGTAGCTGCCTCCCACAGTCACCCTCCCTCGTCCCTGTCCTACCTCCACTTCTCCGGACTCAATTCACCTTTCTTCCCAGCCCATGCCAATATGCAGGGAAGCAGCGCAGCTCACCTGCTTCTCCGTCTTGGCAGCCTCCAGGCCCACCGCGAAGGGCTGGGTGCCCTTGTAGCGTGGCGGGCAGGGCAGGCAGTGGAAGCCAGGCTGGGTGTTGACACAGCGGGAGACTTTGTTGGTGGAGAAGCAGATATCCGCAACCACAGCGCACTAGGGGACAAGCAGTTGTGAGTCGCAGCCCTCCGGTCCCCATAGGGCACCCTGTTGCCGGCCCCTGGGGCACCCACCTCGTCCAGGTCTTCACAGTGAGTCCCATTGCCCAGGAACCCCACTGGACAGGAGCCGCAGGACCAGGACCCATCCGGGAAGCTGTTGCACACAGCCCCAGGGAAGCAGGGATTGGACAAGCACCCATCTGTGGGACAGGACGGCAGAGCTGAGGCCAGGAGGCAGGCGGCACCTGCCCAGCACAGCTCACAGCACTGCAGAAGGAAGCTCATCCCGGCACCTGCCACCTGCCCTGTGCTGGGAGTTGATGGGGTCACAGAAGCCTGATAGTGGCCCAAGGAGGAGGCCCCTGATGCGTTTGAAGCTGACTTGCTGTTAGGAGAAATCTGGTCTAAAGAGGTGGGCAGCGGTGGGTGTGGCCTGGAAGGGTGCACGTTTGCCCCTGTTCCCTACTCTTTCTCTCTGCCTGCCGCTACCATGCCACCAGCTTTTTCTCCCTGTGATGCCCTTCTGCCACGCTGCACTGCCTGGGAGCCAGCAAAGCCAAATAATCCTTTCTTCCTTCCCGTTGGGGGGCTGGACACTGTGTTTAAAGATGAAAAAGTGAGGAGGAGAGCAATTTAGCAGCTTGGTGAGACACTGCCTAAAAATTAAAACAATTAAAAAAAAAAAAAAGCCTGAGGGTGTAGCGCAGTGCGAAGGCCTTCCTTCAATTCCCAGAACCACAATCAGGGCGCCCGTGTGCGTCGGATCCTTGCCTGTCCGCTGTCCACGAGGTATTGCGTGTTTTCGGCTTTCACATAAAATTTGGAAGGAACAGAACAGAGAGGCCAAAGCAGCTGTCTTTATGTGATGCAAATGCATTTTTCTTCTCTGTTTCCAAGAGTTTCCCACGAACGCTTACACTGCGCGGGGCCATCAATCTGACAGGCTAACTCCAGTGGGTGGGGACTTGCTAAGCAGATTGTAGAGCGCGCTCCTGCGTGTGCTCCTGGGGCCCGCGTACAGCCTTGGGACTGTGCTCAGGCCCTCTGCCCCGCTTTCCTCTCTGACGCTGTGCCTCTGCTCTGCTCCGCACCACCATGAACTGAGGGGCCTTCCTCTCTGCTGTCCTGTTGCTGTCACGTTCCTCTTGGACCCAGCTGACAGGGACTAAATCTCCCGAGCCAAATTCATCTTCCCTTTTGTACTCTACGGGTGTCAGGTTCTGCGTCTCATGATCAGAAGGCAGCTAACATACCGTACATCCAAGCAGTGGCTTCCTCCCACGCACCTCTAGCCGACAGGCCAGGCAGTGTGGGCAGCCCCCAGACGCCCATGCCCTCCCGGTGTGCCCCTCGCGCCCTGCGCACCCACCTACGGGGCAGCTCCGCCTATTGCACATGTGGTACTCCTTCACGTCCCCCACGCAGTCCTGTCCCCCGTGCTGCGGCTCAGGGTTGTTGCAGACCCGTGTGCGCTCGCGGATTCCTCCGCCGCACGTGACTGTGCAGGTCGACCACGGGGACCACGGGCTCCAGCGGCCATCAACTGTGGGAGGAGGCAGGAAAGGGGCTCAGGAGGGTGGACTGACTGGGCTACCAGGTCCCTCTTAGGGCACAATCAGCGAGTGACACAGATATAGAGCTATCCTGGTTTGTTCTCACGTCTAGGTAAAAACTCTCAAGACCCTTAGTAGCTAGAAGCCCAAGGCCCTTTTCCAAGGTGAAGTCTGAGCTGCTCCTGTGTAGATCAAACCCATTGTTCACGGCAGCTGCCCCAGGAGTTCCCATGCGGAGGCCTACGTTAATGCCACTGCGCCACCTCCTTGTGCCCCCAGGGACCCACTTCCTGGGTAGGCCCCTGGGCCATGAACCACATGTGTCCAGGAGCCACGGCTTTCTCAGAGGCACAGGGACGTCCTTTCACAAGACGTGCTCTGCACGTCTGCTGCTGCCCGGGCTGAGTCCATAGCTCTGGCTTGTGGTTCTCCAAGCATAGGTGACTGGGAATTTGACTGTAATCTGCGCTGAACGCAGATAGACTGGCTGTGGGTGTGACATGAAGACTAGGGCCACAGGCCCTCGCTGCCTGGAGCTGTGCAGGCCACGCCCTGGCTCCGGCTCACCTACTCTGAGCTCTGCCTCCTCCCCCTGTACACCCAGCACGGTGCTTACCAGGGCAGGGGGCAGCCTCGCAGGTCTTAGTCTCCCGGCCGCTGCCTTTGCAGTTCTTGCCCCCCATCTGGGGCACTGGGGAGTTGCAGAGGCGGATACGTGTGACGTTGCCGACTCCACAGGTCACTGAGCAGGAGGACCAGGGCGACCAGTGGCTCCAGCCCCCATTCTGCCGGACTAACAGAGAGGGGATGGGTCTCAGGCTGCTTCTGGGCCATGCCGGACCTCCTATCTGGCCACAGGAGGGTTCAGCCCACCCTCATGGGCACAGAGGGGCTCAGAGTGAGGTCTTCAGAACCCCGAGGTGACTGTCTCTCCAACCCATGCGGCCAATGGTCAGGGTTACGGGGAGGGGTGGGCAGGTGGCCGACACTCACTGCGTGTGTCACATTGGCCCAGGCTACAAGCCCGAGTTTGGATGGAGGGCCCAAGGCAGGTGTTGCTGGTGACATCGCACGACCGGCCTCTCTGCTGGGTCCCAGAGCCGCATGTCACGGAGCACTCTGTCCACTCTGACCACGGAGACCAGCCTTCCTCGCTGTCCACCTCTAGATGAGAAGGAAAGCACAGAGTCAGGAGCCCTTGGGACGAGCTGGGCCAGAACCGGACAACATCAAGGCCTGGGTTTTCTCAGGCTCAGGAGCCTGAGCAGGGCGAATGCCCAGCAGAGGACGTGGAGAATTTGGTGGCCTGTGAGTGACCAGATCCAGCAGTCAGCAGGCCCACGGCCTGGGCCAGTGCAGACTGAGTCCACCGTGGAGCTGGTGAGGACTTGCTGTGTGTCTAGAGAAGACGCTCAAAAGATTAGGAAAGAAGAATTTCCCAAGCCAGCACTAGATCCCGCCTGCAGGATGGCTTGAGCCTCCGCTGGTCGACCTGCACGGGGGAACCTTATGCTGAGACTGTTGGTTGAAATTAGAGGTCACATAACTTATTTCCCAATGACTCAACTCAAGAAAAATTAAATAAAAAGGCAGCTATTTGCAGAGAAGTTGCACTCCATAAGTGCGAGCAGAGGGAGTAACCTAGGGCAGGAGAGCTCTCCGGGGCACACAGGCGCTGAGCCTTGTGCACGCTAGCTGAAGGTTCCGGGAAGCACGAATGGGGAACAGCAGAGCACGGGAGGATCACAAGAGGCCTCCTCTGGAAGAGCCCTCAGTTCCTGCGGCACTGTGCTGTCCATACCCAAAGTGCCCCCGTGCCTGCAGGACCTCCAAGCTGTCATCCTCAGACAGTAGACAAGGTCCACATTGACTCCAACCACTGAACTTGATTTGATTCTCATCAGAATTGGTTTGCAACCAGAACGGAGGAGAGAGTTGTATTCACACCTCCCAGCTACGCAGCTTCTGGCCTGACTCTAAGTCAGTCCCAGGCACCGCAGTGCCCCGTGAGGCTTACTTCAAGTGGGAGACCTGTTGGGGAGTGGGGCATCATTTCTCTGTCGTCTATAGATAAGGACTCTGAGCCTCAGAAAGATAGCATCTTGGAGGTCACAGGGCAGAGCCTGGCTTCTCCCAAGCCTGCTTTCTGCATATCCTGCATCAGCCTCCCGAGGACCACACTCAGTCCTGAGCCCACCAGCCACCCCCTCCACAGACCCTGCCAGCCCCCTTCTCCAGGCCCCTTTCCTGGGCCCTTCAGTCTGTGGCTTTAGGACAGTCTGAGACCCTATGGAGGAAGAACTGCACCGCACGGACGCAGGCCTGCACCCCACGGACGCAGGCCCGCAGGGCAGCACCTGGGAGCCTTGAGCCTGGACTTCAGGGCATGCACTGCAGTGTGAGGACAGAAACCAGTTGGGAGCAGGTCAGACACCAAGCCCAGCCACATACAGTTCTGCTGAGACTCAAGGAACAGGAATAGGAAGCCCAGGGTACAGGCCCTGGGGGAGACAGTCCCCTCCAGGAAGGTGGGAGCAGGGCTTACAGCCAACTCTGGGGCCAGCCAGCTCCTGTGTTTCTCTCCATCTGGAGGCAGGATCCAGACTGCCTGGGGCACAACTCCTCACTGAACCTCAGTCTCCGCACCTTGGACTGGTCCTCTACAACCGTCTCACTTGGGTATAGGCTCTGTTTCCAGGTGCCCATTTTCCAGGTTTGCTGGGCCCATGGTGCACTGGGGTAGTGACTCATTGTCCTTAAACACTCCCTTTACCTAGCTAAGGTCTCTGACTCACCCCTGGTATCACCTAGGCCACATCTAAGTCAGAAACGTTGGGGGTTTTGATTCCAGTGGATTTCCAGGAGTCCCCTTTGTCATTGGAGCAGGGACAGGTGGGATTGACTCGTCGCTGAACTCCTAAGACTCAAGGTGCCTCATGGCCCCTGTCAGTGGGCAGTCTAGGCTCTGAAATGTCCCCCTGCTTCCTTGTCAGCTGCCTCTCAGAGAGGTGCAGCTGGGATACAGGTGGCAGGCTTACCGTGAGAGCAGGTGGGGCAGCACTGGCCTTCCACGAATGATGGGTGGGCACACGTCACTGGTGGGCAAGAGATTTGGCGGCAAATAGTTTTGAATTTCTGGAAGTAAAAAAGGTGCTCATAGAAAACTCATCTAAAAGTAGTAGATGCTGGGGCCGGGGAGTTAGCTCAGTAGAATAAGTGCTTGCCTGGCAAGTGCAAGGGCCTGAGTTCAATCCCCGGTTCCACAATAAATAAATAAATAAATAAATAAATAAATAAATAAAAATAAAAGTAGAAGAATGCTGGGCTGAGGAAGAGGGGCCCAAGGAAAGTCAGAAAAGAAGCGGGCTCTGCAGGTGAGAGCACGCTGCTTGAAAAGCGGGAGCGCACGGAGGTTGCGAGCGGCCTGGTGTCTCCCACCTCCGGGCTGGAGTCAGAGGTAGGCCATCCTGGCAGGGTCCTGCTTGAAGTTGCGCCGGAAGAGGTGAGGACAGCTTCTTCTGTTGGTGCCAGGTGCGGGACCCGGGATTGGAGTTCTGATTGACAGGCCACGCCCAGCTCACGGGTCTAACCTCCTTTCTCGGTCCCAATTAGCAAATGTGTCCTGGGAGTCGGATC